AGCGGGAAATTTGATCACCAAACAGTGGGAAGGTCCCTATGACCTCATCGCTTTGGGACATGGGTATGCATGTGTATCCACAGATACTGGGGTACGCTGGGTGCCTGCCAAATGCGTTTGTCCTGACCTGCAACCGCAGAGGCAGCATCCGGCCAACAAGTGGGTCGGAGACCGTGACCAAATTGAAACTCATCACATGGATGGGCCATCGGATGATGACTCAGATGCAGATGACGTGAGTGATCACCCCGATGGCCTATCCACAAGCAGACATTGATGCTGAAAACGTTTTTATTTTTATTTTTTTTGTAATGGAGAAAGGGTGAGATATCACCCTGAAACTAGAGCCTTCTGATTGTCTAAAACATTATTTTCTCTGTTATTTTTCCTTTTGATTGTTTAAAATATTGTTAATTTTTCTTTTTCTCTCTGTTCATTTTTTTTCTTCTTTTCTTTTTTTAAAGAAGAAAGGGTGAGATGTCACCCTGAAAATTAAGCCTTCTGGTCTTGTTTTCATAGTTTCTAGCCACTTTCCCAGGAAAGTAACTATAAACATAGATGTTCATACATTCTTTCTGAGAAACGTCTCTTTATGGACGTTTTGCACGACCAGTGTGATTGGGAAGGTGGTAACCTAACTATCCAATCCCTGGTCATTGCCGAGAATCTATAAATACTGGAGTCGAGAAAATAAAAGGATCCTTTTTCCTATCATACATTGCATGATTCCTTGTCCGTGTGAGTCATTCTGTGTCCTATAGCGACACCCATGGATCAGATCATCTCCGCGTGGAAGGGTTGATTGACATGGGGGCTGATGTGACTATCATACCTGAAAGGATGTGGCCTTCATAATGGGACTTGCAACCTGTGGCTGGCAGAATCCAAGGTGTAGGAGCGGTAAAATTGGGAAAGGTTTCTAAGAGCATTGTTCAAATTGAGGGGCCAGATGGGAAATTGGCCAGTGCCCATCCATTTGTCACTGACTACAAGTGTCCCCTGTGGGGGAGAGACACCATGTCCCAGTGGGGAGTCAAACTAGTTATCCCTGAGACTCCCCACGATTTTTAGAAGCAGCCACTGTGGAGAGCCCTACCCAAAAGTTAATGTGGCTGGATCATAATCCAGTCTGAGTAAATCATTGGCCACTCAGTAAAGGAAAGTTCAAGGCGCTCAAAGAGCTCTTAGTAGAACAATTAGCCAAAGGCCACATAGAAGAAACAACTAGCCCTTGGAATTCCCTGGTCTTTGTAATAAAGAAGCCAGGCGCCTCCTTCAGGATCTGAGGGAGGTAAACAAAGTAATTGAGGACACGGGGTCACTCCAGCCTGGGATGCCCTCCCCAACAATGCTCCCACAAAATTGGGAATTTGCAGTCCTAGGCATCAAAGACTGTTTCTTCCAAATTCCCCTACCCCCAGCAGATGCACCACAGTTTGCTTTCCTTGGTCCCTACGGCCAACTGAGAGGACCCAGTGAAATGGTACCACTGGAGGGTTCTGCTTCAGGGAATGAAGTGCAGTTCTTCTACCTGCCAGTGGTAGGTAGCTTCACTGCTGTCCCCTGTATCTGCTGAAAAAAGCCATTATCTTACACTACATCGATGATGTGCTAGTGTGCTGCTCCAATGACACTATACTGCAACACACACTTGACCTAGTGGTTAAAGTTTTAACCTCTGCTGGATTCCAGCTGCAGGAAGAAAAAGTTCAAAGGATGCCACCTTGGAAGTACCTGGGTGTAGAGAATATTTTAACAGAACAAGGGCATGTTATTTTAGTAAAAGCCTGTCTGCACAAGCCAGCCTTTAATCCAGGTGACAATATTAAAGGCAGTGTCCTTGAAACTCTCCTGGAGAAGCAAGAATAAAGAAAAACAATAGCCTTGTGTATTGAGAAAAGAATGTAATACAATATGTGTTAACCAATAGTAGCTAAGACTGTGAACCCTGTTGGACCCTATGAAAGTGTGCTAAAGATAGAAATAAATGACGTTCACCATACTTCTGTGAAGACTCGGTGAGTAGTCTGAGCGGTTTCTCAATATCTGGCGCTACGACCAGGAACCTTTTCTGAGCAACGGGATTTGGCGGGCCCACATGTGGAGAGATGTGGAAGTGGGTCAGGGCCGACGGATTGGATCTGCGTGCGGAGAGACGCGGGGGCAGATCATTACTGGGTGGGCAGACTTGCCATGAGCTTAGCTGGGGAAAACAGGGGGCAGAGAAGCTGGGGTGAAGACTGAAGGTGAGTGCGCATCAGCACCCAGGAGGAAGAGTCTCTTCCCTCCCCCCGCCTGGGGCCGCTAGTATGGGTGAGTTTGCAGCAGCACAAACTACTTCTAAGCATTATCGTTAAACGAGGTGAAGCAGTCAAGGACAAGGACCTTGAAAAGCTTGTTCTATGGGCTAGAGAAAATGGGTGCCTGCAGGTACCGCTGCTGCTTTTTGCAGCAGAAGAATGGAAAAGACATAGGAGATTTGTTGTGGGAAAAAGCGATCACGGGGAAAAGCAAAGACATAGTAATGCTCAGTTCGATCTGGAGAGTTGCGTTGAATACCTTAAAAGACATGAAAGCGGAGTCCACAGTCGCAGCCACTGATTTGGAAGCCATGGCTCGGTCTGAGACGGACGTGTCGCAGTCACCTCCTGCCATCTCAGTCAGCCATTTGGGTGCCTTCTTTGGGGTTGGGCACGTTCAGCCAGTGAAAGGGCTCATGGGGAAACAATGGAGCTCGGTCTCAGAACTTCTAAAGTCTCAGGGGTGTGCTGGAGTGGGAGAGACTGCGCCAGTGGAGCCACAACCGGAAGTTACTCCACCGAATGGGGATGCAGAAACAACAGCATCTCCTGAAGTAGACGATGCCAGCCCCAGCCAGGCGGATCCCCACATGTCAGTGGAAATCAGAGGCCCAGAGTGCAAGCCGAAAATCTATCCTTCACTGCCATTTACTGTTCACTGGGGAAAACTGCAGGACGTCCCTCACCCCACAGACGATATATCGATGCATTCAAAAGACAGATGACCACTGGCAGGACAAGAACCAATCAATTGTAACAATGCATCAAAAAAAGATCTGTTAGAGTGGCAACAGCACATAGAACAACTTGTGCAACAGCTGCAAACTCGTATTGAGCAGACATTAAGTACAAGTGGAGCTCAGCGTCTTCAAGAGATGGCAGCTCCACAGCAAACACTGAGACATCAAGCAGAATCTGTTCAGCAGCTACAAGATATGTCCTGAACCATCTGCTCCACCTTTAGAGACACTTTTAACACCACAATCTTGTTCCAGCTCTAATTCTACTACCCTAGAAGAAGAGAACAGAAAACAAAAATCAAGGCAAAGATGGACTGGCATAATTTGAGATGCAATCATTGAAGGGGAATGGCAAGCAGCAGGAGCAATAGCTTGTCCCATTTTATATGACCAACAAAATCCACACTATGAACAACACAACTGGAAAAATCTTGCAAGCAAGCCAAAAAGACAGTTACTGAGCATGGCATTAAATCTGAAGCTGCAAACACTGCATTGGATTGGTTATTCACATCTGATGTTAATAGTCCCATAGACAGTCAGAATTTAGCATATCTGCTTTTATCTCCATCGCAGCTTATGGTGTGGGAGAAGGAGTGGAAAAGGTTAGCTATTTTAGAAGCCAATCAACCTCGGGATCAAAATGATGTACTGTATGGACTTAATCCTGACATGATCACCGGTTCAGGAGTTTACAGTCACATGGCTGTACAATTAAATTATCCCCTTGCAATGTATCATCTGTCAGCGCAGCTTGCTCGTCAAGCTTTCAATGCTGTGCCTGATTCCAAACTTTATCCTGCCTTTACAACTATACAGCAAGGCTTCACAGAACCATATCCTCATTTCATCGATCGTCTGCCAGCAGCCCTGAAAGCTCAGAGAGACATGACTGAGGAATGTTTAAATTATTAGCTTTTGAGAACGCTAATGCAAAAATAAAGCCTATCCTTGCCATGCTCCCAAAACAAGCAGATGTGGGGGACATGCTAGACATTGCTCTGAGAGTTAATCAGACACAACAAGGGCAACTTGTAGCCAATGCAGTTGCAGAAGCCATAAAACCAACTACGAACCTACTGCTGCTGCAGTCAGTAAATTAGGAAGTAAATTAAACCTTTCACTACCACTCCAAGCATTTGCTACCCATGTGGCAACAAAAGACACTTCCAAAAGTCCTGCCAAGCTTTTGTGGTGTGATCGATGCCAAGTGGGTACCTATGCTACTACTACATGTTGTTTCACATAAAACATGAACAAAGAGTGCGAAGAGCCGCCACACGGGGACACAAGTACCCGGCCCAATTCCATACAGCAACTCAACCCACCAGCAACCAGGGGAAGCCTGGGAATCAAACTGATCTGACAGCATCAGTAGATGTCACTCTCATTGACAGCACCATCATAAGATCCCAACTGGAGTCACAGAACCCATTTATTCTGTCACCAGCGCACTTGGTGCTTTGCTAATTGGAAGATCATCTGCTGGAGTTGCGGGACTCATTGTTCTCCCAGGAGTTGTTGATGCTGATTATACTGGTGAAATCCAAATTTGTGCCTACACATTAGCCCCTCCACTCAAGATTAAGAAAGGGATAAGAATCGCTCAATTAGTGTTGTTTCAAAAGGTAGCAACTGAAAAAGATATTTTTCAAAGTGCCCCTAAATGTGGAGCCAGAGCATTTGGATCTACAGGAGATACAGTGGTGAATCTTGTTCAACAAATGAGCCATCGACCAGTAGTTGAAATCACCCTGTGCCAGAGAATGAAGCAGCAAAAAGTTAAAATGATGTTAGATACAGGAGCTGATGTCACCATCGTCAGCCAAGTTTGGTGGCCAAGAGAGTGGCCTCTCCACCGAGCCTTAAACTCAGTACAAGGTGAAGGAAGATACTCTACACCACTGAGAAGCGTACATCCAATTCAGTTTCGACTTCCTGAAGGACAGGCTACCACCTTATGTCCATATGTCATGCCTTTGCCTGGGAGCCTTGGAGGGCTCATTGGTCGGGATGTTCTCAGCCAGTTCAGAGCAACATTAACCTTTCCTGTCCAATCACCTTTTCAGTAGTTGCCACTGCTGACAGGCCGCCAACCCCAAGGATTCAATGGAAATCTAATGAGCCAGTGTGGGTCGAGCAGCGGCCTCTCTCTCAGGAGCGGCTGGCAATTGCACGTGAACTTGTCAATGAGCAGCTGCAAGCAAAACACATCCAACCATCGCTCAGCCCATGGAATACTCTGATCTTTGTCACTGCAAAGAAATCTGGAAAGTGGTGATTACTGCATGATTTGTGCAAAGTGAATGACCAAATGTGGGCAATGGGAGCATTACAACCAGGGATGCCCTCTCCCACCATGCTGCCACAAGAATGGCATCTTCTAGTTATAGATTTGAAAGACTGCTTCTTCACAATACCCCTACAAAAAGAAGACACAGTGTGATTTGCCTTAATCTTACCATCAATTAATAAAGAAAGTCCATTGCAAAGATTTGAGTGGGTGGTCCTTCCACAGGGGATGAAAACTTCCCCAACAATGTGCCAACTCTTTGTTCATTGGGCACTGACACCTGTGTGTGCAAAACTTCCTCAGACGATTATTTATCACTACACAGATGATACTTTGTTCTGTCAACGTGATCCGTTCCAAGATGATGACCTTGCATATATCACCGCTCAACTCGCTGCAAAAGGTTTGGTGATTGCCCCAGAGAAGATTCAAAAACAAGCTCCATGGAAGTATCTAGGGTGGATTTTGACATCTTCATCAGTCCGCCCACAGAAATTGGAATTGGCTACTGAGATCAACATCCTCAATGATGCACAGAAACTTATTGGAGATCTGCAATAGGTACGATCCATTGCTGGTATTAGAAATGATGAGATGGCATCTTTACTGAGCCTCTTGTAAGGCACAAATCCACCAACTCCTGTTACCCTTTCTGTAGACCAAAAGAAATTCCTAGGGAAGAAATTTCTCACATTCCTAGGGAAGAAACTACTTTCAATGCTAGCAGACAGAAGATTGCCAGATGTGCCTCTGGGACTTTTGATCTGTAATCATCCCATTGCCCTGTGTGCTATCATATTCCAGTGGCCTGCTTGGCAAAAAGAGAAAGGGGGAAAAGACCCATCTGAGAGCTGTCAGGATGCCAAGCAGCCTGTCAAGAAGGTACAGTCAGTTAGATTATCAACAAAATGTGCAGAACCTTTGACAATCCTTGAGTGGATTTTTACACCGCATACGCCACCAATGATTATTTGGCAGAGAACAGAAGCAATTGCTTACCTCATCAAAAAGGCGAGAACGCGAATTATGGAAATTAGTGTCGCTGAACCAGAGCATATCAGTCTACCGATAAAGACAGAAAACTTTGAGTGGATGCTGAGACACTCAGAACCAATTCAATTAGCGCTGCTCAGTTATCCAGGAACTGTACATAACAGGCAACCTAAAGATCCATGCCTGCAGATCATCTTAAAGCAACAGTGGCTACAACAGCCCAAAATACTGCAACATCCAGTGGAAAGCCTTACAGTATATACTGATGCAGGAAATCGACAGAAAAAAGCAGCCTGCACCTGACAAGAAGGCTCAAGTTGGAAAAGCAAAATCATAGATGGAGATGCACATGACTCACTGCAGACGTTGGAACTTACAGCTGTCTCATGGGCATTGTCTCGTTGGCAAGACAGAAAGCTGAATATTGTATCAGACTCATTATATGTGGTAGGTATGGTCCAATGTATTGAAGATGCTCTCATCAAGCCACCGAATAAGTGATTGTGTCAACTTTTCCTGCAAATCAAAAGAGCTCTTGAAGATAGAGAAGGATCTTGTTGCATCATTCATATCCTCAGTCATCAAACGGAATTAGGTCTTGGAGAAGGCAATGCAAGAGCTGATACACTTGTCAGTCCTGCTGTTGCAGCACCAAGAGACTTTTTCACAGCTGCAAGAGAGAGTCACGCCCTCTTTCATCAAGCTGCAAAAGCCTTACAGAGACAATTTAGTATCAGCTCAGTAGATGCACAAGGCATTGTAAAATCCTGTCCACAATGCAGTCAATATGTACCACTCTAGGCTTAGGTGTTAACCCTAGAGGTCTTCAAGCCTGTGAGATCTGGCAGATGGATGTAACACATGTGCCTGAATTTGGTCACCTCAAATATGTACATGTCACAGTAGATACCTTTTCAAAAATGATTTGGGCCACTGCACAAGTGGGAGAGTGAAGCATACATGTAATCCGACATTTAGTAGCTTGCTTTGCTGTGATGGGAGTGCCAAAAGAGCTGAAAACAGACAATGGGTCTGCACATGTAGGAGCATGAATATCTCGGTTCTTACAAAAACAGGGAGTTAAACACGTAACTGGAATTCCCCATGTGTCAACTGGACAAGCCATTGTAGAAAGAGCCCATAAGACCTTAAGAGTATTTAAGTAAACAAAAAACACCAGAACAATCAGATCCTGTTATTCTATTGCAACAAGTACTATTCACTCTAAATTTCCTCAGTTTAGTTGGAGATTTAGAGCAGCCCTCTGTCGTAATTCATAATAGTCAGATAAAGATGCAAGCTACCCCAGAAATTAAACTATATTATAAAAATCCAAAAACAGCTATCTGGGAAGGACCAAATCCACTGCTGTTTGATGGGCATGGTTATAGTTGTGTTTCCACAGATGCTGGACCACTATGGGTGCCTAGCCGATGGACCAAACCAGCCAGGAAGGATCTGAAGAACAATCCAAACATTGATGCCCTCAGTCAGTCGCTGATTGGCTGCCAGATGACGTCACAGGAGCAGCAGGTGTTCCAAGACTAAATCACATTACATCGTAGTCTGTTTGTGAGAAGAATTTTGTAGAAGATCTAAAAGAGTATAAAGACTCCATCTAACTGCATATAAAAGCAAATTGTAACTGTATTTTTACCCTTTAAGCAAATTGCTTTCACATTTAGATTGCATAAATACCAGAGCACATGTGTTAAAAGTAGTTAGATAATAGTTTAAGATAAAAAGTTTAGCTTGTGATACTTGTTATTTGTAGGTTATTGATAATCTTAGAGAAGATATTAGTATAAGGTGTAAGTATTCCCCCTTCAAGAGTTAAAGTGAACATATTTGAAAGTTCATTTAACTTTAAACCTTAAAGGAATTCATTCAACAAATTACAAAAGCCTGATTAGCTGTGATTCTGAAAGTATGGTGTCATTTGTGTGGAACAAACTGCTCATAGTAATTGTGCTGTGTATAGTCCCAACCATCTGCTAACTAACATCCAAAAGCAACAGAACATATGGGTCACTCTGGCACACTTAACAGGCCAAAAATCCATGTGTTTAAGCCTAGCCACACCTGGAGATCCTTTTCGCACCTGTCTCATAGGAGTCCCTGAATGGGATCCTCAAGCATTTAAAGGTTTAGTTGGTAATGAGACTCAACTGAATCAATTGTCAATGTTATGAGAGTAACAATTGCACTGTTGGCTTCACGTCAAGACAACTTCAAGCCTGTTGGCAAGCCAAAATTATTGAAGTTCTTAATGTTACCTTAGGGCCCCCAGAAGAATTAGACTTGTTAGGCTCCACCAATACCTCAGGTGGATGGATAATGTTTGAGCCCCAACAAAATGCCACTCCAATAAAGTGATGCAACACTGGGCTACAGTTAACCCTATAGCTGATCTTATTACTAACACTGAAAGTAAAGCTTTTTATTCAGTGCAATCTCACAGGACGATTACCAAGGCGATTACCTAGTGCAATATTCTTAATCTGTGGACATAGAGCATGGAATGGAATTCCTGCTAGCCCACATGGAGGACCCTGTTAGCTTGAGAAACTTAGTTCCATCCAAATTTACACCAATTGCTGAATATAGCTGGTAAAATAAAAAACATCAAACAGTCAAAGTGAAGCCTGAATGAATTACAATGTGATGATGTTAGAGACCCAGACTTCTGGGGTCGTGGTATGATATGGCTAGCCTCCTTTTTCACTCCAGGAGCAGCTGCTGCTAAAGGCTTGTCAACTCTAAAAAGGCTAGCTCGTTGGACCAGGAAAGAACTGAACTTAACATCAACAATGTTAAGTGAACTTTCAGCTGATGTGAGTGGTGTACATCATGCCATATTGCAAAATCAATTGTTTTCTTGCTCTTAGCACAAGGACATAGTTGTGAAGAGTTTGAAGGTATGTGCTATTTGAACCTTACTGATCATTCAGTTTCCATCCACAAACAACTAAAACAGCTACAGAATGGGTTACATACCCTGAAAGAAGATAGTGACCCCACTGGAAGTTGGTTAGCCAACTGGGGCATTATTGGATGGTTGTGGTCTCTTGTGCTGAAAGGGGGACAGATTTTACTTATGGTGTTAATTGGGATAGTTGTTTAAAGTTGTATATTATCTTGTATCCGTAGAAGTGTAGAATGAATTGCGTTTAAAGCCTGGCTTGTGCAAAAAGAGAAAGGGGGAATTGTAGTGAATATTTTAACAGAACAAGGGCATGATATTTTAGTAAAAGCCTGTTTGTACAAGCCAGCCTTTCATCCAGGCAACAATATTAAAGGCAGTGTCCTTGAAACTCTCCTGGAGAAGCGAGAATAAAGAAAAACAATAGCCTTGTGTATTGAGAAAAGAATGTAAAACAATATGCATTAACCAATAGGAGCTCACTAAGCCTGCAGACCCTGTTGGACCCTATAAAAGAGTGCTAAAGATAGAAACAAATGACGTTTGCCATACTTCTGTGAAGACTCGGTGAATAGTCTGAGCGGTTTTTTAAATACCTGGGCTTGGAGATCGCTGCGTGGACTGTTGTTCCATAGAAATTGGAAATTGTTAGTAATCCCAAAACCCTAGTGGATCTCCATTCCCTGTTCGGGTCTTTGAACTGGGTCAGACCCTGCTTAGGTCTCAGTAATGAGGACCTAGATCCCCTGCTCAGTTTATTGAAGGAGGAGAGAGAGATGCTTTCTCCCAGGGAACTGACCCCAGAGGCAAAAACTGCAATTGAAAAAGCACAAAGGGCTCTGACTGAAAGACAGGCTTATCGCTATAAGCCTGAGCTGCCTTTCAAATTCATTGTCCTGGGGAAACTACCACACTTACATGGGTTGATACTCCAATGGATCAAAGGGCAGAGAGATTCACTCTTAATCATAGAGTGGGTCTTCCTCTCCCACCAATGATCCAAAACCATCACCAAGCCACAAGAGCTGATGGCTCAGCTGATCCAGAAGGCCAGGGTGAGGCTGCAGGAACTGGCTGATTGTGACCGTGTGTATATTCACCTCCCAGTCAAACTTTCTGAGGAGGGAAAGCACTCTCCTGAAAAACTGACCAAAGAGATGTTTGAGCACCTGCTGCAGAGCAATGCTAACCTCCAGTTGGCTCTAGACAGCTACAGTAGACATATATCAGCCCATGCACCATTACACAAATTGTTTCATGAGGAATTCCACCTCATTCCTCGTGAGAAAAGGAGCGGTAGGCCGCTCAAAGCTCTTACAGTGTTCACTGATGCGTCTGGGGCATCCCACAAGTTGGTGATGACTTGGAGAAATCCTCAGACTCAGCATTGGGAAGCTGATGTTGAATTTGTGGAGGGGTCACCCCAGGTAGCCGAACTGGCTGTGGCCATGAGAGCCTTTGAGAAGTTTGAGAAGCAAATCAGTTTGGTTACTGACTCAGCCTATGTAGCAGGGGTGGTGTCCAGACCAGAGCAGGCAGTTCTCAAAGACATCAAGAATGAGCATCTCTTTAGGTTGCTCTCAAAACTAATTCATTTAGTTTCAACTTGAGAGCATCCATTCTATGTGATGCATGGGAGGTCACA